CCTCCAACCTAAGAGCAATGACCTGCAACCTAAGAGCAATGGCCTCCAGCCTAAGAGCGATGCCCTCCAACCTGCTAGCAATGGCCTCCAACCTAAGCGCGATGGATGGCCTCCAACCGAAGAGCGATGGCCTGCAACCTAAGAGCAATGAATGACCTGCAACCTAAGAGCAATGGCCTCCAAGCTAAGAGAGATGGCCTCCAACCTGCTAGCAATGGCCTCCAATCTAAGAGCAATGGCCTCCAACCGATGGCCTGCAACCAAAGAGCAATGCCCTGCAACCCAAGAGCAATGGCCTCCAACCTAAGAGCGATGGCCTGCAACCTAAGAGCAACGACCTGCAACCTGCTAGCAATGGCCTTCAACCTAAGAGCGATGGCCTCCAACCTAAGAGCGATGGATGGCCTCCAACCTACTAGCAATGGCCTCCAACCTGGCCTCCAACCTAAGAGCAATGGCCTCCAACCTAAGAGCGACGGCCTGCAACCTAAGAGCAATGGCTTGCAACCTAAGAGCAATTGGCCTCCACCCTAAGAGCGATGACCTCCAACCTACTAGCAATGGCCTCCAACCTAAGAGCGATGGCCCTCAACCTAAGAGCGATGGCCTCCAACCTAAGAGCGAGGGCCTCCAACCTACTAGCAATGGCCTCCAACCTAAGAGCCATGGCCTCCAACTTAAGAGCGATGGCCTCCAACCTACTAGCAATGGCCTCCAACCTGGCCTCCAACCTAAGAGCAATGGCCTCCAACCTAAGAGCGATGGCCTCCAACCTAAGAGCGATGGCCTGCAACCTGCGAGCGATGGCCTCCAACCTAAGAGCGATGGCCTCCAACCTAAGAGCGATGGCCTCCAACCTGCTAGCAATGGCCCCTCCAACCTATTTCGTCACAGATTCTTGAAATGGAATTTGGAATGCTTGCTTACAGTTTGAACTGTGAACTGTGTGCTTGATGGTCGCCAATGGAAAGCCTGCTGAGCATGAATCAAGAATGACCTGTTTCTGGTGAAGAATCAAAGGCATGGCCTGGTCAAAACACAACAGCATCGACAGGATCATGTCCATATTACATCCTCTTGAGCTGCCTCATCTGCGGAATTCAGTGTGGTTTGTTGATGGTTTTTCCACCAAATCTGGAGTCTCTCCCTCTCTCTGGGCTCTCCGAACTCCTCCAGTTCCTTCAGAAGCCCCGCGTGGTCCGAGCGAAGGTCTTCGGTGGCACGCACCACCTGGGTCGCACTCCGGCGTCGCCGTGGCGCCCGTGGCGTCCGTGCCGCGCAAACGCTGGGTCGAAGGAAGCAAAGGCCAGGGGTGGCGGATTGAGGGGTCTGTCTGGGGCGGCAGTCCGGACTGGCAGTCCCAGACAGGTCGTGTCTGGGAATTGATAGGTCCAAAGGGTTGATGGGAAAGAACCAGCGCCGAAATTGGAGTCACCAAGTCCAAGAACATACGTTCACTGCGGCGCCGAGCTGCAAAGTATGAAGGGTGAATGAACGCGCCATCCAGTTATAAGAAAGGTTGACAGAAACTACTCTCTTCTCGCTCCGCACTACTGCGATCACCCCGGGTTTCTCAGCAAATTCAGTTGGAAATCCAGTCCCAATCTGAAATAATTGGTTCTTCCAATATATGGGCTTGCTTGCTTGAGATCATTTACATGTGGGGACTGGATACCTTCTTCCATTTCAGCCGGCCGTTACGCCAAACCCCGACACCTAGTCGGCCACGTCCACGCTCCGTGGAGAAAAAACGCGCCTCGTCGGCAAACAAGGCCTGGAGATGTTGCAGCCTCGGTGGTTGAGACCAGCGGACTGAACACCAACAGCGAAAAGCATGGTAGTTTCCAAACGCGGATGTCCACAAGGCCTGGAAGGAGACGGATGTTAAAAACATAGGTTGAATATACCTGACCTATAACTTTAACCATCAGTTATAACCATCGTATATAGTAACCTATATACTGTAATATACACATTACGTAAGACTATTTTATATATCGAACTGACTGCTTTATACCTCAGCCAGTCCAAGCGATTTTGTTCGCTTCGATTCTCCCAAGGAGGCCACCCATCCTGCAGCGTCTTCACCGCCTGTGTCGCGTCAGGACGAGTTCTGCACGGCGGGAACGAGTTCGACGAGCTCCACCACTCGACGGTTCGACTCTGCTCCGAAAAAGAACACACACGGAAAGGCAAGGGATCTGGGCCGGTTGGAATATCAAATCAAGATCGTCACGAAATGTGCCACCTGGTGCGAATGAGTTGCACTCCGAGGCTGGAGGCTGCATGTCCTCCACTGATTCAATCCAAGGTTCTCATAAATACATAAATATCCCAGACACTCCATGTATGGAATGGACATATTAATGCCCATTGACCCCCCGAAACCCACCCCAACTGATCGGCCAATTAGTCCCAAACGACTGGTCGTCGTGTCTGGGTATGGCAGTCACAACAGCAGACCGACGAAGCAATCGGCATTACCAGTAGTTGCCTTACCTTGTCACCAGTTGCTTGATGGACCCGACTGCAAGCATCTTCGAACATGGGACATGATCTCATAAACAACGGCCAGGCGGCGGCACGACTGTGTTTGAAACTCCATGGTCTATGAAGATGGTCTATGGAAGAGATCAGGAGGGTCTTAAGCTGCGATTTTCCCCGGCGCACCCTGTTTGAGGATTTTGCTTCCATGGTTTCACAATGTTTGAAAGGTTTAGAGGGTCCAGTCATACCTTCTGAGGAGGCAGGACTGGAGCCCTATGGAACCAAAACATCGCAAGCTGATTCTGCCAAACACGATCGCACTCTCCAGCGGCCCAGTGCTCACCTCAGTGAAGCTCGCCGGAACTGGCGCTTTGGAGCTTTCCTGCCGAACGATTGGAGCGGAACAGCTCCAAAGGGAGCGCTTGAGGAGCAAAGAACTTCAGTGTGTCCGCAGGAAACTCATAGAAAGTCAACCGTTTAGTAATCCGTTTCCTCTGATCTCTCGAAATCCAACCGTTTTGCGGGCCGCTGCACGCCGCTCCTCCGGTAGGGCGCCGCTCTTGGGCGGCTCCTCGGGCAGCGGCCCGGCGGAATTCTTGACCTCTCGGCGCTGGGGACCTCGGCGGTGGAAAGACAAAGCCTTCGATGTGGGAGCCATCAAAGGAGCTGAGATGAAGTCATGGATTTTTTCAAATGTGGGTTCAGTCATGATCAGTGACTCAAACAGTCGAAGAAATCAGACTCAACGTGTTACCGGCAAAAACCCAGCCCATCCATTCGAATCCATTGAATTATAGAAGATTAACCTACATTGGGGTGGTTTTGAGACGTTTGGACAGGGATAATGCAGGTGAGTATTCCACTTAAAGCATCCAACAGATTCTTGAGGAATCTTATCGATCCTGACCTCGCTGCAAAACCGACCGCGCTCTCTGAGGTCTTCACTTGGACTTCTCGTTGGGCTACTGGGGCTGGTGGGCTCCACTTTTGGGCTCTCACCCGGAGCTGTGGCAGGCGCCTGAACAGGAGATGCGCCTGGGACCTCGACGTGATGCAAATTTGGTATGTCCCTCTTCTGCCCTAGGGATCCAAGTACCTTCTCAGAAGGTACTTGGACCCTCCAAACCATAACAGTGCCTCCAATCACCTTCTGAGAAGGTACTTGGATCCCTCGGGCTGAGTATTTGTGTATGACCAAGTCCGAGGTCGACCTGTAGGGCGATGCGTCAAGCGCATAGAACATGTTCTACGAAAGAAATACCGGATCCAGTCGTACCGAACCTCAGGTTCAGTACGACTCGAGCCTCCTGGCATCTACATGTCTCAGTGTCGAACACATCACCGTACGGTGCCGGTGGAATGTTTAGGGAGACTGAAGCTGCTGACGACAGATGGCTGAGTATGGCTGTGGGTCATTGCAGCGGTAAACCCGGGCGGACTCGTCCACCGAGGAAAAGACTAAAAGGGCAATCTGGCGCATCCGCGCGGGTGGCGATGGCCCTTCCCTTGAAACCGGTACCCGGGGTGTTTGTATGTAAGATCTATGACATGCACATGTAATTTAACACACCCAAGATCCCAAACCACAGGAAACCACAGGAAAACAGGAAACTACCTGTGGGATCTATGAACATTATACACCCTTCGCTAAGATTCCCACATGTAAAAAAACAGGAAACCCGTCTATATAGCTCTATAGCGACAGTTCTCAGACGTTCGACGACCTGGCCATGACCCGGTGCTTTCCCTTTTTGCAGGACGTGCTTCACCTGCACATCAGACATCCAACTGCACACCGAACAGCGCGGTCGACCGGTCGTACCCGGCCGCGCGTCTCCGCGTCGCGGAGACCGCGGAGACCGCGCCTTTTCGAGGAGCTCATTCAGCTCGATCAGCAGGGCGTCCAGCACCGAGGGCACCTCGTCCGTTCGTCGCGTGGGAAGGCATGCGCAAACGACCGGTACCGACCGCGCGTGCGTTGCGCGAGCGAGGAAGGTCAGAGAGACCCGGGTCGTTGCACGGGTGGGTTTTCATCGGGTGGTAGTCAGTTGATTTGGAGACAATTGCACTCCTTAAGCCTCGAGCTGGCTGTTTTTCAATATGAATTCATGGGTCCACTCTTTGGAAGATTGCTGATCTATTATATATATATATATATCTCTCTCAAGACTGGATGTGATTGAATAGTACTGCTTTTTTGGAAATGATTTATGGTCCGTTTTTGTCATGCCCGGCTCACCACGAAGTGGAGCTGTGGGGGGTTGCACCCCTTCGAATTGACTCCCTGTCTTCTCCAGAGAGGAAGGTGTAGATTGTCTGGGTGTGAATTAAATGTATAGCAGGCTTCTGGACACATCGACAAAGATCAAGCAAGAGCTGTCAGTGTCATTGTGTGTCCACTGCTAAACAGAACCCACCCAGAATGTAAATCACTGCCCCAACGTCTGTGAGACAGGTCGGAAAACGCATGCAGCCTAGTGCGCACGGGGCCTCAAAAGTGAGCATGTTTGCGGTCCACCACCCCGAAAACGTTCGAATTGATGCTCCTAACTCCTAACGCCTACTGCTCATCGGGATGGGTAGACAGTGTGAGTCAACATGACCTCACCATCATAGTTGATGGACTCAATGAAGATCTCCGATTTGCTGATGGTCAAATCATAAAAGCCATACTGAGCTTCCCCATACCAGTCTTCCGTGTGGTCGGGATCCGGAGTGGCCTCAGAGGTGATTCCACCCCCCCCACCCGTGACGATACAGGTGATGCCCATGTGGTTCTTGGCATAGTCATCCGGAAACCACAACCTGGTTGCTGGTTTTAACTCACAAAAAATATGAGTCAGTACGGTTCAATCATCCCCAGTTTAAAGGCTGAACATGGTTTAAACATGTCTGAAAAGAACTCTGAAAGCCACCACCAAGCAACTCCTGGTCATGTCGATGGCCTGTCACCAACAAGTCCAAGCCCATGTTCGCCAGGCCCTTGTAGAAGCCCTGCTCATGACCACAGGGGAAATGTGTCACTGCAATCTGCCAGGTCGCTTGACTCTTGGGCAAAAGCTGAGTGACCCAGTCTTTCTGCTCAGCCCACAAGGCGGCAAACCACGCAGGGCAGCTATCCACACTAGTGGGGCCATCGGCTGCTCCGCAGGTGGCAGACGGTTTGTTGTTCTTGCGACTGCACATGTTGTGATTGGGATCCTCCTCAGGAGGCTTGGCATCCACGAAGTTGGAATCCAAAAAGTAGTAATCCACGTCAAAACCCAGATCCGCATAGCTCACCGAGGTCTTGTAGTAAGGGGCCGGTAGCACCCAGCGGTTGGAAGCCCAGGTGTAGGACATCTGTTGATCCCAAGCATTGCCGAACTTGAAGCCTCCCCAGTCATGGTTTCCCAGGACCGAAAACCACGGCTTGTGGCTGAGACCTGCCTTGGAATTGCTCAAGGAGCCGGGATCAAACTTAAAAAAGATCATCAGATGTATGGATTTGGATGTACCCCGGGGAAAGTATGTTTCATATTTCCCGAAAAGGGATGTGTTCTGGATCGTCTCCATTTTGAGGATTGAGCCAGTTCGGGTAAGTAAACCAATCACCTGCTCCACAAAACTGAGATCAAGCCGCCCCTTGGTAGACACCCTCAAAGATCTGATCGAACTGATGCTTCGTAGGGTAAGCGATCTTGTTCATCGGTTCGCCACAGGTCTTCTCGATGCCGCCCCAATAGAAGTTGTCGCCGACATTCAAAATGTACTGAGGATCCTTCAAGGCAGCTCGCGCTTTGAAGGCCTCGGCCACCAGTATTTGTGGATTGTCATCCACACCAGGTACATAGCCACACTCTGGGATGCAGGGTGGTTGACCTCGCGTGTTGAAGCACTCCACCAACTGCTTGTGGTCGCACAACTGCACGGTGTGTGCCTTGTTCCACCGGCTTCGCGGGAAGACGCTGGGTCCCGGCCGCTTGCCCCAGTCGTAGGCCACGATGTTGAGCCGGCCCTGCGCTGTGTCGAGGGAGCCGTCCATGCCGCCCCAGTCGCCAATGGCAAAGATGTGCATCTCCTGATCACGTCAAGATCCATATCATGTCATATCATGTCATATCATCACGTCATCTAAGATCAATGAACCAGGAAAGCAACAAACCACCATGCAACCAAGACATGGAATATATATATATAGTTATATATATATATTTATTTATTATATATTGTCATGTTTTGTCATTGTTTTTTTCACATCATTTGGTTAATCTCTTTCAAATCATATAAGATATTCTTTCCGCTCACCTGAACATGCATCCAAACCGTCGTTCAACTCTACCATGCCATCTCCCCCATCCCCAAAAAGCTGGAATGTCATGTCTACCACCCTGGCTACTAGGAACAAGGGGCATCGCTACTAGGAGCAAGAACGCTACTAGGGGCTCCTGGCATCGCTACTAGTAACAAGAAGCTACTAGGGGCTCCTGGCATTACTACTAGGAGCAAGAACGCTACTAGTAACAAAGGGCATCTCCATCTTCACGGCTCCACCCTCCACATCTTTCTTCTGTGATCTCTCCCCTCCTGAGCGCCATGCACCACGGTGGTGGGCCAGTGCTGTCCTTTATATCCTGAGGATTTGCCGCAAAATCAGCGCCAATCATCGCGAAGTGATCGTGGGGACCAGCTACAAAACCACCAGCTTCCATCCCCAGAAGATCCCCATGCCAGATTCATTCACTCATAGAGGATAATATTACAATATCACTTGTTTTGCAACATTTAAAACAACACACTTCGAACTTGGGTTTTCAGTTAACGCAATTGCCACGTTGGGAAGGAAGGCGATAGAACAGCATGGCGAAAAGTCCGACAACTTGGAAGTGTTTGAACATCGATTGTTTCGCTTGACTCGGCTGCATATCGGCGGTGGTGAACTGACGGCTCAAATCAGCTGCAAAACTGAGGTTTGGGGGTGGAAACATGAAGGACCATGAATCAAAAAGTGGAAAAGTGGAGTCACAGCTTGTGAAAGAACGAGCAGGTACGTCGGCCAGCGTCCTGGCCGATATCCTCAGGGCACTGCAGAGAGCTTTGTTAAGTGGAGCTCTGCAGGCCTGCTCCACTCCCCTGCCTATATCAGGTGGTTGTCCAAGGTAGTTGAAAAGCATGGAAAGAGTGGTGGTGGAAGACCCTTTGTCCAGGGGTGGACACACACACA